TTTCTGCCAATCTGTCGAGATACGGTTCGTTGTTGTTTTCCGCTTTTACAACAGGATGATATGCAAAAAATTGGAGTAAATCACAATATCATTTACTTATCGTTTTATTTCAATACTTTTCAAAGCAAACAAATGACCAGCTTCATGTCATTACCCACAAACATTTCAGTGTGGCAGCTGTTTCATCGGATGGGACTGGGCCATTTTCCAAACCTCTTCTACTTGGCGCGCCACTTCCGCCAGTTAGCCCTAAACTAGAAATAATAGAGATGGCTTATCTGGTGTGTTCTAATCGCCTTTGCTATTTGCTGCTTCTAGCGATGCATACTGAATATTTTAGAACATATCTCTTCCTACCAGTACTTATTCTGACGGTTTGGTAGAAATCACTATGAAATTTAAGGCTCGAGGTATATTCTAAATGCAGCGCTGTATATATCAGAGAGAAGCCAAAAGTATTATAGAATGGGCTTTGGGAATCGGAGATCTACGAGTGAAACCAGATTTTGATTTGCGCAAATGTGCGATATTGGACTTGACCCAGAGTGCTTCTCCTTCTGGCCCAATTATAGAGTTCCTTCCGATTGCTTATGCACATGACTTAGATCCCAGTACCCTGATAGTCCGGGTTGGGGCCAACCTTATGTATCTTCAATGCAGTTTCAACTACTATGCAGTGGAAGTCTCGAGTCTACAGTGTCAACGATCAACCAAAACCTTTTTCCAGCCTAATGATTTGGACACGGTGACAATTAGTTAGTTTTTCCTTCTTCGAATACAATTTTGCTCATTGCAACCTTCCCGAGTATAAAACTTTGAAAAATAATCAGAGCTACAGATTAGGGAGCCAAACTTAAGCAGATAATTGAACATGTAGCTAATTAGCAAGTACAAAACAAAAAATCTTCCATGACTTGCGAAATTATAAGGGAATTCCCTCGTCAGTTACTCATCTATATAATAATTTTTAGAGATATCTGCTCCGCATTGTCTTTTTTTTAAATTTAAAGAAAATTTTCCAGATTATGAGGCAAGATTTGAAACGCATTACTTATGGCTACTTTTCAGCGTCTTTTGTATGCATGAACGATTCCAAATATTTTTCTGTAAGAAGTAACGCGACAATACTGTTCAAAGAGCCGAGTAGTTCAGTAAACATACTTTGCGGAAACAAATGCTAGCAAGATTTGTCCAGCTTAGCTAACACATACAGAAAGGGTTAGGAAGGATCATATTTCTTCACTGTTGGGGAACTACGAAAGGCACAGTGATTTACTCTGCGTCTACCGCATCTCAAATTGCGCAACTGCTAAAGTATGGCATGCATATGCGGACTTTGCGAGCGGCGAGATGAAATAGTTCATGTAAATCAGCATATTTATTAAATTTCATATTGTTTTCTTTCCTAGGTGTATATAAACTAATATAATTAACGCGTAAGTACTAATTCTGGCCAGGCTTTATCAAACTGCAACAAAAGACTTCTAGTTTTGAATGGTAAACCTGCTACTAGATGAAGCATTATGATTGCTCCAAGCATGGTATAGCATAAACTCCACACAAATTTATATGTTACATGATCCTATCGCACCAAATATTTGTTAAACGTAATCCATCGAAAGTCGATATAGTCGTGTATTTTGATGAGACTTATTTACTTTCGTATGTTAAGGAGTCGAACATACGTGTAGGTCACTCTAAACACATTCCTTTCCTGGCGCACTTCCACACGGGCGCACGTAGCTCATACCAGTCAAAACAAACTAGAATCTCATTATCTATTATAATAGAGCGCATGCCTGCTGAATTTCGCAAGTATGTACATGAAAATCGCTCCTTGGCAGGAGAGACACGCCTAGAATATGTTCGAATGGTTAGCCCATAATCTAAAACCTATAATGTAAACTGATGTGCAGCTGGTTTTATCGTTAAAATAAGCGAAGATGAGCATATAGAGTAATTTGATGATTGTCATGATTACCTTAAAGGAGTAAAACAATCTGAATTGCCGGCACTATTTAGACACTTAAGCGTTATACATGGGACGTAGAAAGTTAATGTTCTCAAAACTGTGCTTCATAGATGAAAGATAGACAGAGACTTTTCCCGCAAGTTGTACGTTTCATAAAAATGCATTAATAAAACTTTGTTATAGTCAGTAGGGATAGTAATTAATAGTCCATACAGAAGCACATTGCTTTATATCTACGCTTTCAAGTATGTTCGTAAGTAGCATTTTCAAAATTCTGCTTCCTAAACGATATGAGCCAAACGCACATACTACGTTAGCGCAGAGGGAGGGAGATGGGAAGGAGGAGACAAAAATGGCTATTTTCATCCAAAATAGCGCAGTTTATTCATTTTATTGATTTCTGCACTTTATTCTTAGGCTGCTGATTCGCGTGCAAGTATTATATAGTGTTAAGTACAAATATGTAACAGTTAGGGGAAATCTAATCCTTGCGCATCATCACTCTGATTATCAGCGTTAGGGAAGGCGAGGCAGCTAGCAGCCATTTCTCCGTCCCCGTTTCTAATTCTTCAATTTCTTCATCTTTCGATCCTCTTGCTCTTCACAGGGTTTAGGAAGGAGCCGCTGAAATTTCATCACCTCGCTTTCTGCAAAAATCATTAGAATTTGCGGATCGTGACAATACTACGCTTTTCATAAGAGAAACTTGCACACATGCTCTTTTTAGACAAAGCGTCGCGCCGCGGCCAGGTCTACTGATAAAGCACATTAGATACCTGCTTAGATACTTAGATGGCCTGTCTTGACTCGTCGTGCAGGCTCCAGCATTGCTTCCATTCGTTTCTTTCTCTCGCAAGCGTCATTCACGATGTTGGAATTGAACTGCGGCGACGATGTTCAGGTCTAGTTCCACTACTCGTTACCAGCTGAGAATTCAGCTGATTCACGCAACGAACAAGTGCCCATCTGATCGGTGGCCTCCCTCGAAGACGTTTTGCTTCCAAAGGATCGATTCCATCCATTCCAGAGTTCTTTATGTCCATCTGTCGTCTGTCTTCTCATTATACGACCCCTTGGATGTCTTGCCGAGAAACGTATTTCGCAGGATCGCAAAGATAAGACATTGATTTCACATCTGAACTGCAAAGACCGAAGAGATGTTAAATGCGCCGGTTGTATTCAGAAGGCACCTTTTTAGCGCTTTGTGTGTTGTTCGGAGAGCCTTCGACGTACGTACAGTGCAAGACTACGTCTCTAACTCTGGTGCGTAACAGAGTGCTAGGAGAACGGTTGAGTCAGCGCAGGTGCGCTTGGAGTGCTGGTTTCGCCAGCTGGTCTACTGCCCACTTTGCCTGGAAGCGGCCCGACTAAATTCTCGCCTCCTGTTCAGTTTTTTTTCAATTTTTTTCTCCCGATCGCTCTCTATTTTCCGATCATCCGAAGTATACGTCAACGTCTCCGCGATTGGGGAGCCTCTCATTCTATCTGGGTCCACGCAAAAGGCACTGTTGATAAATTGGGTTTTCTTTCGCTCGCAGTTCTCTTCTTACTTACTATAGTAGTGCTACCAAAATCGTCTACGTTTCGGTCATCCTCATTCGGGAGAAGAGAGCAATATTCGCAAAATGAAGGTTTGTGAGGAATCTCCCATCACAAGTATGAATCCCTCGTTCACATCCAGGGGTTCACCACTCACTACAAGGCGGCGGTGAACGGCTTTAACGATGTAGTTCGCCTTGTCGGATCCCCTTCGCGTCATACCTTTGTAGCGCAGTTCTTGTGGTAGGCAGCCAACGTCCTCACATGAGCTATTTCCTTCCCTTAGCCGACAAGCGCTGACAGCGTGCGTTCCGTTCCACGTTGTCAAGCTTCATGATAGTTGGCGAAGTTTAGCACGAGAGGCAGAGGATACTTTGGTAAACCTCGGTTATACTCGAAGCCATCTAAATGTGGCCTACACAGATAAACCTTACGAAATCCAGCGTTTCTTCAAGTTGAGTTTTATCCACCTTGAGTGCAAAAGAGAATAACATTAGAGAAGAACTTGAAACGCTTAAAGGCATATAGAACCGTAGTTCAAATATCCTTCCTATCGCTCTTCTTGTGAGGGAAAGCTGTTCGGGAGATCTCTAATAGTCGGTGATCCTTTTTGAAGATAAGATGTTAAGTGCGCTGCAGATATGTTGTAGGCGATACCCTCCAGCTCGTAAGAAGTCGAAACTTGTTCGGTATCAGAGCCGTGGCTCCCTTCAATTAAATGCGTCGCGCACTTTAGCAGGAAAACATGGTAGTGTTTTTCGGGAATGGGATTTGGCACCGTTGTTGATTAGTGGAAGAGATAGGTGAAGATTGCTTCATAATCAATTTCATCGTCTGTCTGCCGGGAAGGTGTCCGAGTCCCGTCTTCGTTTAGTAATGTTGTCAGCGGAATACGGAGTCGGTAAGGCCCCTGCGCTGCTTCTTAAACTGCTTCTTCCTTGGCTGCTCCCAAAAGTTTCGATTGCTTATACTTCCACTGATCTTCTTGTGAGGCCGTACAACTGGTATTGGCTATCATTCGTTGGAGATGTGATGCAGCCGGGCTCTCAGTCTTCTGAGATGCAGGTCATTCGTTAAGTTCCTCGATGGGACAACCAAGACAAGCAGTCAGGAGCTCCTCCAATCTGACAGCCGTCAAATACGACTACTCTCCCTCTTCCAAAAGGTGACATCTTCATTTCTGGATGGTACCACTGAGACGTCTTGTAAGCACCAGCTTCGGTTGGTGAGAATTTGGATCTCCGCATGAGTCGTACTGTTTCGCGACTCCCATGTCTATCGCCGGCGTTCTTTCTTTGTGAAAATGGAGTTGCCATGAAAAAGTCGTGCGGCAGATAAGAGCCCAAAAAGATATTTACCATTCTCATTCCGAAGTATGCAAATCTCCCGATCCTATGCTCCCCTTTCTCTGACATCCCGATTTTTGCTGAAACCCACGACAAATCTGTAGAAGGACTTCTCTTTGCGGATGACTTCCTCCAAATCGTCATAGAATGCATCAAGTTCCGAGTCATTAGTTGCTGATGTTGGAGATAGAAGTTGATGATAGTATTGCTTTTCTGATGCGAACGGAGTTAAGGATAGCCAAGCGAGGTGATAGGATTTTATGCGAATCGACAAGTTGGACAACAATGGGTGTACGACAAATCCAACGCCACCAATGTTCCGTGATGGAACTTTCTCACCATGAATGATGAGTGTGCCATCAATTAGCTGCTTCACATCCGTCTCCCTTGACTTCCTGCAAGGCGATTACTAGCTGATGCGTTCTGCAGCTTCAAGAAGGGCGTGGAGGTCGGCGTTGGTGAGGCTGTCGTGGCGCTGTAAGTGGAGAACATGAGACAATCTCTATGGCGGGTCGTTGAAGTGTCGCTTTGGTCTGAAATCCATGGCCTCCTGTGCAACCACTCTGGCCTTGATGACATATGCCAGA